AGGGCCAATAAAAAGTTTTTTTATATTTTGTAGGTTAGACGGTTTATCACCAGGCCGACGATATGGCCTGTATAAGTTAACCCCGAACCTAAACTTTTTTAGGCCACATGTTGACAAATCATCTTCCATCACAGCAGGACATAGAATTAATTTAAGATCCCTTTCTGTATCTCATAATCTGCAGTTAAAAACTCGTGCCGTCTGTACATGTATATGTCTGAATTACTTAATTTATTAATAAAAATATAATAAGGTGTATTTTCTTTTAAAGTGGATAGGTAGACCCTGGAGTGTACCTAGCGAAAAAGCAGTTTTAGGATAGGTGGACCCCGGACCAATGTAAAGCTGCCTGACATCGTCATGTGTTAGGGTAAGGTTAAAAAGAAAGAAAAAAACAAGGTGGGCAGACTCAGTTCCAAGTATACTTCTACCTAAATCGTTTGGGTTTTTTTAGTGTTGTTTTTTTTTTTTAATCCCTGCATACATCATACGTATTTGACCGAATCTGGAGTAACACCGGCACCTGGAAACACTGAATGGCTTTGTATTTTGAGGAGGACAGGTGATAGATTCGAATGGCATGGTTGTGTCGATAGGCTAGTCCTAACTTATATTTACGTTAGGTCATATACAATTTTTTCATATATATAATTTGGTTGTTTTTTTTTTAATTTAAAAAAGAAAGTAGATTTCTTAAACTAATCACTAATTTGCAAAATCGAGACTCTACTGATAGTGATAGATCTATTTTATTTTTATTTAGTGGAGGGGATTATTTCAAAACGTTGAAAAGGAAAGTAGAGGGGTGATTCTGAATGAAAAGTAGATATAAAGGAAAGGAGTTATATGTGTGTGTGTGTGTGGGGGGGGGGGTATAATAAGGTGTATGTGTTTTGGGGTGGGGTGTATGTGTGTGCGTGCGCACGTGTGTGTGTGTGTGTGAGTGTGTGTGTGGTGAGAGAGAGTACATGTAATTGTGTGTATGTGAGTGTAGGCCAATTATGAGTGTAAGTGTGTGAATGTTATGAGTGTGTGGGCTGGTGAGTGTGTGTGTGTGTGTGTGTGTGTGTGTGTGTGTGTGTTATTTCAAAGTTTTTATTGAAATCAGTGCAGAGATGACTAACTTATTGCCCTTTAAGTGGGTCCTTTTTTTTCAACACCCTGTACAAAGAAACATGATGGGGAATTCACATTAAAGAATAATAAACAATTTGTGAGAACTTAGTTTTCTTCTGTATTCAACTTACTATCAAATTCAATTCAATTTTCACCCAGTCACGTCTCTATCTGAAGTTCCAGACACTTTGTGAATGAAGCCAACTATAAGCAATTCTATTAAGAGAAATAAAATGTAGCCTATTATTAACTAAAGAGGAAAAGCAGAAGAAAACAATTTGTTTCATGTTAACAGTTATCATTTTAATAAACTATCACAAATATTTTGACATTGTGGCACTAGCTATTCACATGATGGAAGAAATTATCCTTGAAAAATCAACATTATATCAAAACACAATTTAAGGAAATCAAAATAAACTTTGCATTTTATTGTTAAGCACAGAGCCAATAACACAAGTGGAATGTTGATTAAATATAAACAAAAAATATGTCATAAATAAAAACACTTAATTATAAATACTATCTTTGTCCACAATACAAATACAAAACAAAAAGAGTCTAGTCGGAATAACAGTACAGAAAGCTGTGTTGAAATGAGTTTATCTTGATGTATTTGTTCAAATAACCTTATCTTGGAGTGTGTGTTTATACATTGTAGTGAGGCAAAAAAATCGTGTATATCAATTTGTCTCAACAGATCAATAATATTTTAGTAAATACCTTTTCCAGTAATGGATGTGTATCGGTTTCAACGCATGAAAGTCTTGATTCAGAGGGCACAGTAAACTTTCATTACGTTAACTACTTAGGCATTTAGTTAGTCCAAGCTCTCAAACTTCAAGGTGTCAAAATCGAAAGTCAAGGTTTTGGGTCAGGGTACATTATTAAAAATAAAAAGTATCCTTTATATGTTTTGATCTGATCGGGACTATACTTGTAGTAATATTATGCAGTGGGTTTTGCAAGACAAGACAGCAGGTAGGCCTACGCAAACGACAAAAATATAATAATGTGGAGTTATTGGTATCACGTAAAAGCTTATTCATTTGCTGTACTTTCAATTGAAAAAAATACCCATTCATCTTGAATAGAAGTCAAGATATTTGCGATTGAAGGAGGTGTGATTGCCTGGTTTCAGTGCTAACTTAGCGATAAAATGGCCGCCAAACTTTGGTAACTTCAATAGCTTGAGAGAGAATTAGAATCCTTGAAAACTGATAAATCACCTATTTTGTGCCTTACTTTAATCAACATTTCCATGGAAATGTGTTTTATATGGATATAAAACGTGTTGAGCGAAAAAAGCAGAAACTCAAAATAAACAAAAATGGCAAAACTGGCAGAAAAAAAGCCTGTTTCTTAGATTTCATTATTTTGACGAGCACCTGATTTCACCACGATGCTGCATATATAATATATAAACAATAATGGTTGACTTTCAACCTTTCTAAGAATCAGAGCTTTTCCAGAGGAATCCAAAAAGCAGTTATGATCAATAACAATCAACATAAAAATGCAAAGATGGGAAAGATAATTTTTTTAAAGTATAAGATAATGCTTTATTAAAAGGTCAGCTAGACCCACACTTTATCATTCTTCCACAATGGCTGTACAGCATATATATAAAAAATTAGATGGTAATTTGAGTACCTCTTAAGCACATATTATGTGTCACTCCAAGAAAACATCTCGGAGGGTGCTGATTATTATTTCAAAATAGAGTCAAAACTGTCAAAGATGGCCACCCATTGCAGAGGAGAAAACTGGCTGTATTAGACAGGTGCATGGCCATCTAACACAATGTCATTATAATGTAATAAAAGAGAGATTAATTTCTATGAACTCGCAATTGTATCATGATGTTCAACAAACAAAAGAGAACTTTAATGCCTGTCTGGTGAAACATAGTATAGTATATGAATAGGTCTTCTGTAGCTGTAGAAAAACTAGGACTATGCATCTTTCGTTTCCCTCTTTATTTTTTAAAAGTTCTAGACTCATCATGGAAAATATTTTAGCTCATTGTGCCTACAATTTTTTTCCACTGACTCACCCATTATGCCAGAATTAATTAACTAAGGAGTGCCTATTGCAAATATGGTTCCTTTTTATTCAAACCAACTTTTCTGACATATTTTTCCAACAAAGGTGCATATTTGATACTACTGGAAAGGTAATCGAAAGAGCTATCACAATTAAGGGGTTGCATGGTGCTTTGTGTTATTACGTAAAAGCAGTTATACAATGAATTAAATTAATAATTGAAAAAAAATTGAATTTGACTAGTTTGATGAGTTTCATCCAGGTTACTGTCACCATTGCCCATGAAATACAAATTGATAAACAGCAGAAATGTTTATAATATTATATGTCAACCATTTTTGCAGCAATACCACACAAGTTGGTATTCCAGGGTGGGCTCTTGTGGTATAGAGGCTACAGTGTTTGCCTCTCATTTAATAGGTCCTGGGTTAGAAACATGATAGCGACGGAAAATTTACTTCTCTAAAATTCTCTCCTTTCACCTCCTTTCCTGCTCTCTAACCATGTTCTGTCATCTGCTTTCATCTCCACTTTCTGTCTCCCACCCCCCCATAGTTTTACCCTCTCCTCTGGGGTTCCTGACTCTTTCTGCAGCCTTTCTACTGCTACTCCTTGGCTCCTTCTTTCTACTGTCTTTCAGTCACACCACTGATCTTATGGTAGGTAAGATCTAACAACTAGCCTTCTCAGATAAGGGCAAAAAAATATCGGAGGTCCAAAATCGATTAGAGTAAGCTTCAGCTGTCATCCTGGCATAATTCAAAATTCCTACCAAACTGAAAATGTTTAATGTGTCCCACGAACTCAAATGAACTTATGCAGAAGTGTCGTCAGACCATCAATGATTTATCTATAGTGGCAGAAGTGTCGTAAAAAGTAATGTAATAACTTGTCCGTCAATGTCTGATGATGACCAATACATCCGCAGAGGAGAATATTTCTCTAGCAAAATAGAAGGATTTGAAGAATTAAAGGTTCGATGACTTGTGGCTTCTGCTGTGACCAATTGTGGAGAAAAAGAAAAATACATGAAATGCCACAGTCTATCCCAACCCAGTCTCCTCTGACAGTGGACCTACACCTAGAACTCCTGATTCTATTCTTGTAATAAATCTAGTGCTAGCGGTTGTATCAACTTTGTTGACATTGCAAGCACTAAATCTAGGTTTTGGTGGCTTGTAAAAAATTATGGATGAGCGTCTGATTCCACCCGGTCATGACACATATTAGTCACTTTGTTACATGAAAAGTGTCATTGGGCTTTTGTTTTACATGAACCATTGCCCCATGCCATTGTTGCCAATGGAAACAAACAGGCGTACTTATTTTGATCAACACTTCAGATTTTTTAAAAAAGACCCTAGATTCTCTTTAAAAAGCTAACTAATAATGAAACTTGCTGTAAAGCTTCCGGTTTTGACAAAAATACATTTGGATGTTGCAAAATATAGCCAAAAATTGCTGTAGGAACCGCTTAATAAAACCATATGAAACGACAACTGAGTCATTCCTCTGTGGAAGTTACGTTTGGCCAGCAATAACTGAGTCATCGCTCCCAGCATAATGACTGAAGCAACTTTTTCACATCTTGTCTTCCAAACCATCATGCCCTTTGAACTGCCATAGCTTTTCAAAGAAATGTTCTCAAGCACCCAAAAATAGTGCAAAATGCTAAATAAAGAAGGAGCTTTTCAAATATATGCAAAATTGTCAGTTTCTAAACCTTTCTTAATGCTTTCTTTAGAGTTGGACCCACATGAATGCCCTAATATTCGAAAATGATTTAAGACACTGTAACTTGTGATGCTTTCTACATCAGTACACAAAGACAAATGTCATAGCTTTCAACTTCACGTGTTTATTAAACAGACAGTTGGAACAGACAAAAATCTCACTTACACTAACTTACAGTGACTCACACAATGAAATTTCCATCTGACTCTTACTACATTTTTGTAAATAATTTTTTTTTCATTCATAAAAGAAATATGAGGAAAAGAATCGCAAAACTCATCCAAAGATACATGAGTCCATCTACAATGGAAATAATAGAATAAACAAGAAATTTGTTGTTTTAAACTTCACGAAATGGCTGGCACAACAATTTTTGTTTAAATAGCAGAAATCAAAATTACAGGAATAAATCAATATAAAAATATCTACATTCGCTGCATCGCTTTCAGTCATCAATTCACCTGTAAGTTTCAAAATATGGTCCAGAATTTGATATCCTTGTTTACTCACTGCCCTCTGTGGTTTTCTTGAACTGTTAGAAAAAATCCACAACTCTTTGTCTTAGTAAATAGGACAACTGATTTTATGGAGTACATTACAGCACAAAGGCGTGTGAATGTGAGAATATTAGAGTCATTAACATGTTAAATAAAGGCAGCCTCTCTGCCATAAACCTTCACAAGCTGCAAAGTTGAACATAGAATGCCAAGAGGTGGAAAATGAAGGGTTGCGTAATAAAACATTAGAAATAATGCAAATCATAGAACTATTGATTGATCCTTTCATTACAACCAGCATTTCTTAGACTGTACAAGCTGCCAGCCACATGCACTATCATGACGGCACATAGAATGTCAATCAAAACACCTAAAAAACCCACTACAAACACATGAGCAACACAGTACAAACACAAGAGGAATACTGTATATCAGAGCCAAGCCGCTGTCAGCAGCTCACCGGCACAGCAGTTCCAACCGTGAGCCGCTTGCCCGAGACAAAGAGTTAAAACAACAGAGTACAAACACTGGACTAACACAGTCTGGCCCCCCAGGAAATCGTGGTCTTGCGGCCGCAGCGGCCGCCTTTTTCGTCGAGTTCCGCAATAAACCCGCAATTTTTGCAATTTTCGCAATTTCTTGCAATTTTAGACAAAAATACACTAACGCTTTAATTTTAAAAGAATTTTTAATACGAAATGATGCGAGTACAGAGCCGATAGGCCTACGTAAATCACGGTCTCGGCCCAGTTCAAGCCTACTGAGCGTACTCTAAAAGTTAACCGGAAATTAAGGCCGGAATGCATCATATCTCAAACTGAGACATAGGCTAGGCCTAGATCTAATGTGTGTAAATGTGTGCGTGTGATAAGACAGTAGGTGTGTGCGTGTGAGAAGTGTACGGGAGTGTGTGCGCGTGTGTGTGTGCGCACGCGTGAATATTGTTGGTACATTATGTACGTGTCTACATACACGGTAACCGGGCACCTAGTCTCAATATCTACGTACACGGTAACCGGAATGAAAATAAACCAATATTTGTCCTGTGCTGTCACTTGTTAAAAAAAAAAAAAGTCATACATGGACACGCGTCTTGTCGGGCTCGCCATCGTTACCGGTCAGTGAACCTGTGCTTTCGCATCACATTGTGAGTACCGATTGGGGTCACCAAAGTTCATTCAAAGTCTGTGCGCTGCGAAGTATAGGGCTCCGGAATGGGGGAATTATTGATTTTTTTAAAAAGGTACAGTCGGGGGAGGGCTGGGGTTGAAGGCAACACTGGATGACAAAACTGACCTTGGAATTCTAAACTGCTCGATTACCGTGTACGTGACACTGAGACTACGTGCCCGATTAACGTATACATAGACACCGCGTTATTTAAACGCCTTAAGCTGCGTTCACACGGGAGTGGGTGCTATAGACATGATCTAGATCTACATTATTACTAATATTACATGTATTGTTATTGTTTATAAATGGAAAAAAAAACATTTGCTGTATTTTACGATTTGATTTAGTGTTAAAAAATACCATGCCAGTTTTAAAACAGAAAATATCTGAAATAGATCTAAATACAGATTAGCGGTGTATTGAAGGTTTCAAGAGAAAAATAGAACAGGATCTGATTTAATTGGAGCATAAGATCATTTTGTATTTAGAGGTTGTTTCGAAAATCTCTCATCAATTTTTTTGTTTTTTATAGACTAAACCTCATACACTTCTAGATTTTTGCATGAACCAACTACCCGGTATGTACTAAATTTGGTCAAATTTTATGCTTTCATTTAAAAGTTATTACGAAAACTGAGGGTTTCGTTTTTTTGTGTCACGCGTTATCATATTATATTTGGTCGATAACTTTATTGTTAATGTACTCGTCTGTTGTTACTAGTAAATGTTGTTAATAATTTGATGAATTTATATTGTGGGTCATGATTTTTTAAAAGGCTGTGCTGCTTTTATGCTACCAGTATTCAAAATTGTCATGTTTTTTAAACTAAAAATGTTAAGCCCATATTAATGCGCCTGGGATGGGAGGTTGCAATTTTTTTGCAAAGTACAATTTTTAGAACAACAAAGTACAAACACTAGAACAACAAAGTTCAATCTTAAGAACCAGCATCTTCATTGTTATCGCCATCATCATCACATCCCCTTTTTCTTGTTGACACATTTTTATGAAACTTACAAATATCGGCACCAAACTAGGGACAAGGAACGAAAAAACTGCCAAAAACACTTCTCCTTCTAAAGTTGAATCATATTTGGAAAAGAGAAGAACCAACTATCGCAAACCATTGTCACCAGACAAACGTTTGATCATCACACTAATGGAAGAAATGTTACCTACGAGACAATTAACACATCAGTTTTGGTGAGAGCAAGGTGCAAGAAATTTAGTGCTGCACCCTAACACTTTTTGGTGCTTGCATGGTGAAAGGGTGAGGCGAGGTAGGTGGTTCTGCTCTAGCCCCAGTAACATATTTTCTGTAGACTAAATTCACATCTCACCAAACTGGTGCCAGCAAGGTGCTGGTGAGGGGAAAGTAACTCTACTCTGTCCGCACATTAACTAAACATTACAGTCAGCCAAACACCAGTGAGAAACCTTTCAAAGACACATGTTAAAGTGACCAATCAAAAGACATTTCCAATCCATTATTCCCAAACATATCGCTTGCCCAGTCCTATGAGTACACGTACAGTAAGGTGGGAAAACACTGTCCATCACTTCCATTGTGGAGTGCGAAGAGCAGCCTCGACATACGTGTACCCGTTTGTCTAGACTTCTCTTTGTCATCATGTTGCCCACCGTCTAGGTTGTTGGGAACATTTTTCTATGTCAAATTTTATCTGTTGACGTGTTTCACGGACCAAAGTGGCGTGCGTTTAAATTATATAGTAAAAACCTGTCATATGACGAAACTGTGCGTTTAAACAGAGCAATCCTTTGTAGGCATGTGTTTAGGTGAAGATAACTGTACAAACACTAGAACAAAAAAATCGAGCAACACAATACAGAACACCAGAACAACAAAGTACAAACACTTGAGGAACACAGTTCAAACAATATCATTGATGGAAAACAATGTTTTCTTTTGCAAGTGACTTATAAATACAAAGGCCCACCTTTCTGAAGAATGCTCTGCCTGGCCTTAACAAAGGCTTGTATATCTGCATCCACCTTGCTGTCCCCGGTCAGCATGAAGCCTCCAATAGATGGCTTTATAGGAGGCCTAGTTGAACAAAAGAACATTTATTAGAAGAGCTTCTAATAGATATTTACCTTTTCAGCGACAAAACACTAGAATATAGTTCTCCGGGAAGAAGACTTTAAACAATTGGTTACATTGGAAAATCAGCACAAAAAAAAGAAGAAACAAAAAGTGTACTGAATGAAAATAAGTGGGATTGAGAGCCTTAACCACTTTCAGTACTGAAGGCTCATATAGTGAAAAACCCTCAAGTACCGCACCAGTTTAGAACTCTGAAGCTGTGGTAGAATTTTTTTTTATTAAAAAAACTTAAGCAGCCCAACAAATATGCTTTAAAAATTCATAGAGGTTAATTAACCATTCGACTATCAAAAAAGAGGGATTTTCTTTGGTATTAACTTCAGTGCAGTGTGTCCATTCGTTGTTTAATGATGTTTAGTGTGCCTGGTTGCATTGGCGACTTGCCAGCGGTAGTGAGCGCATACTACGGCTTGGCGATTAAAGTCGCCGACGGTACTGTGTAGTCACTGTGTGGAGAGATAATTCATTCATATGACTTTGATATATATGAATTCACCACTTGCGTCAATAATTGTAAGCACATACTATTCAGAAAGTAGAAATAATGCATCAAAGTGAACTTTTTAAATATTGGATTTCAAAGAATTAGATCCGTGGAATCCATTGATCTTGGCAACATCATTATCATAAGAGACAGAAGTATGAGAATGTCACCATGTAAAAGGCCATCCTGTTCAATGACCCCTTGAAAGCCAACACATAAGAAAAAATATGCTAGTCAAAGGAGTTACATTATAGAAAAGTTGTGAGAGCCTCTAACCAAAAGGGATACGAATCATCACTTTTGGTTTTACTTTCGCCAAGAGTACTGTGAATTTAAATGGTTTCTGAACTGTGGTTTAAAGCATAAATAAAGCACATTGCTAATGACCTTCAGCACAGTGCAACAAACTCCCCCACATTTCAAACAAAAATAAGGCAGAAGGAAAATAGATGCAAAACTAGGCAGAACAAGAGGAGAACAAAAAAGTAGATTAACAGGAATGATTAGAACAGAGGGAGAAGAAAAAAGAAGGGGGGGGGGGACAGAAAAATTTACAACACATAATTAGTCAGACAAGCGTGCAGAAAATTCAACCTTTCTTGTCTGGAGTTGCTACCCCTGATATCAGGAGAGGGGGTTTCACGAGTAAAAGTTCTGTGTGAAGGAGGACCAGGGATAGGGGCAGGTGTGGGAGGGGTGATGGGTGGAGTCTTCCAGGCAGCCATTACACTTTGACCACTGGGCCCAGGGGGAGGGACCTCTGGCCAAACCTGTTCATAGAGGTAGAAGACAAGAAAACAGTCTCACTTACAAGACAATCTCATCCCTCTTTTTGGTAGTTTGCAAGCAGTTTTTCCAGTTCTACCTGTCAACATAATGCTTTATGAATTAAGTACGCAATCAGTTTATCTAAATATTATCCTCAATATATCAATACTAAAATATTATAAAAGTTTTCAATTTCAATTTTTTCAGCACTTTTGAGTTAAAAAAGGCCCACAAAATTAAATCAGAAAAAAACATCAGTTCAAGAACTTTAAGAGGAATTCAATTACATCAAAATGACAGAAGTGCTAATGTTTTGAAAACGTTTGGGGAAGGGAGATTCCACGAACCTGTGTTGGGAAGTTGATGAAAATCTGGCTCAATGCCCAATTTCAACCCCTGAAATTAGTGCTTATGTTTTTTAAAATCCGATGAGATCATTTCAAATATTGAGGACGTCAGTTTGTAATTCTAAAAAGTTAGCTACAATGGGAACATGATACAAGCAAGTTAATTCTAGTCATTTTTGCCTCAATCACCCACTGATCGCCATTTTCGTCCAGAATAGTGTATCTTTTACAGTCGGACCTGCCATGACGGCCACCTCTACAAACGGCCACTTTCCATTCCCCCCCTTGCGTTTTTCTATATAATTTACCTGTGTAAAACGGGCACCTGTCCAACGCGGCCGCAGCCACCTTATTTTATCAACCCACGTCCAAATGTACCTGCCTAAGACGGCCAGACTTTGTCAAACATTATGCATTTCCCCCTGAAATTGTGGACAAGCCGTCATAATTCATTCGCTTGTCATTGTTGCCAGTCCTTCCAATGGATGAAACAGTCATGTTGCTTAGGTCACTCCCAAAGTTTACCCAAATTGACCTATGGGTAACGATAAATTTTCAGCTGCTGGTAAGGGAAGCGTGTGATCCGTCATAACCTAGAAGGCCCGCCCACAACTCAGTCCGTAAACCAAGTCCCTAACAATGGAAGTCAACACAAACTCCCGACAGAAGTGTTGCTCGTTCGCCGAGTGGTGGCGACCCATTTATTTGTTTTACTATGACACTTGGCCTTTCTCGTCTGAAACATTTCGTTTTGTTTTGACCTTTCCCGGAACCATAATTTAAAAGTGTAAATAAAACTAACACAAAAAAGTCGAACAAAAACCGTCCTATCCTCTGCCCCCTTTCAAAAGAAATAAAGCAACAACACATTTTAATCAGCCCAAGGGCAGTCCTAAGCATGCAACCACCTCCAGTTGAGACTTCAGGAGTAAATAGTTTGGTTTTGATCAGTTCTACCTGAGGCGGCCACCTGTCTTATACAGCCACTTTTCCCCTCGAATATGGGTGGCCGTCTTACACAGGTTCAACTGTATTACATTTCATTGAGTCGAAAGTCGAAAACGGATTAAACAATTATGCTTAGCCAAACATCTCATCAAAACACATCTCTTTGTGAGATGATTGATGTTTGCAAATCTTTTTAGAACGGGTTTCAAAGTGTAGGTACAATTTAAAAATGAAATAACAATTTTCTCTCTCTCTGCCTTAGAACATTTGAAATGCTGGCCGATAATATTTCGGTAGGATGAAATGCTCAGCATGCCTTATTAGCATAACCGTGAAAGAGATGTTTATGACAAAGATTCTACTATACAAATATACTCATTGTTACATAATTTCATTATAAAAAAAAAATTTTTTTGAGGGGAGTGTATACAGACCTGGTAACCGGGAACAAAGTCACAAAGTAGGCCTATACAGACCCAGTAGGGGAAATCTTTTGTGATGTCGGAAAGTTTCAATGCCCTCTTGGCTCAGTGTAGACCTAGGTTCTTCTAGATCTATGGCCTAGGTCTAGATCTAGACAGACAAACATAAATCCTATCTAGTTTCGAGGCCTAGATCTAAATGAAGATTGCGGATGTCTTTTCGATGAAAGATCGTTTTTCCTCCGTTTTAGAGTCGGGGGGATCAATAACTTTGAAGAAAAGAACAATGTCATAATTTCAATCGAGAGGTCATCCTCTCTATTTCTCTGTATCTCTCCACTCTTTTTCTGCCTGCCCTCCCCCCCCCCTCTCTCTCTCTCTCTCTCTCTCTCTCTCTCTCCCTTTCTCCTCTGTGTATCGCTCGCCTTCTCTTTCTCTTTGTTTGTCTCTGTCTTTCTTTCTCCCCCACTTACTTTCCCATTCTATCTTTCTCTCGTTCCCTCCTGTCAACTGGGGCATGTGATATAATTTGCTAGAACTTCCCCCTGTTCTCTATCCCCTCCTTCCTCTCTCTCTTTCTCTTGCTCTCTCTCTCTCACGCACACACACACACACACACACATGCACACTTGTGACTTTGTTCCCGGTTACCAGGTCGTATACACTTCGTTTGTTTTTTTTAACAATATTTGTTGACCCAGATGTGACAAGCCAGAAACCAGCAAAACAGATTTATAGGAAAATAAGAATATATATATAACGAATATATATAACATTGCAATAGGCTCAACAACTGCATGGTAAAGTAGAATAAACTGGCAACCAAAAGTTACTCTCAAGTCATGAGAACCTTCCACTGGTGTGGACAAAACACAAAAAATAAACCACAGCAACATCATGAACTTTTTAAAAATTCCAGGCAAACCAACCAGCTGATGATTCCTTGCCGTCTGCTCCGCCCACCACAACTCAAAATCTTTCATCAGCTGAACTTTGGACTTCTCTAGGAAATGCTGCAAATGCTCAATCTCAGACTTCATAGCCCGAAGTGAAGTAAATGTGTCTTTGTAACTGAAATATGATAGCATTGTTTGAAAAGTTGAATGAAAAGTAGAAATGCAGTAAGAAACACAATCAGCACAAGACAGGGAAAAATAAAAATAATCTCACAGCTAAATGTGTAAGTTTTTCACCCCAAAAAACTCTTTGTTTAAATACACAAAATACAATTCAGAATTGATTCCAATAGTCATATGAAATATCAGTGCACTTCATATCAAGGCAAACATATATATATGGGCAATTTTCCTGAAAAGTTGTAACACAGACGACATATTTTAGATTTAAACCCAAAAAGCTTTAAAATGTACTCAGTGCATCTTTGACATGTCTAGTTTAGACACCAACAGAGCTGGAGCAAGAACTTGTTTGGTTTCTGTGGAAGCTGAAATAAAGTTTCCTGCAGTGTGCTGTGATCTTAAATGGTAGAGGACAAACAATATCAGTCAAAACATGAAAAATAACAGAACAATAGCCATCAAGAAGAACAGAAAAATAGGTTCAGAAAGCATCAAGTCCATTTATTCACTGTTTGTTTACACAAATTTCAAAACATCTCTTAAAGAAAAAAAAATGCTTATCAAACTATCAGAATGTCTTAAATGTTACAAATCAAAAATTCCTTATAAAAAAGAAATGAATATTTCCATTTTGGAAAGTTCTAATGAAAGTAGAATTTTCTTCAAGCATAGCAACAAAATAACAAGATGCAATGCTTTACTTTATACAAGTATAAACCAAATTGTTGAATGTTATTGGCAAACTGATAACCTAACCAGAATAGGTTTTCAGTTTAAAATAAACGTTACGGGACAAAAGATAAAGAGATTTTGTTAAAAAATATGAATTGAACTTCGAATAAGAATTCTGCAAAACTTTAGAGCATTGAAGTACATAGTTAAAAACTTCTTTCATTATATTTTCAAGGGTTTTAATTGAGAAAAAATATATCAATCACTGAAGTATAGTATTCAGGGGTCTACATTGAAAAATTACACTTTTGCAACATTTTAATAAACTGAAGATAGCGATACCATTTTGTTTTATTTTACAGATAAGATATGCAACGTTTAAGACCAAACTTTGAGTGCATTGTATGAAGATACTGGATGTGACAAGCCAAAACATTTCTCTTATTTTCCTTTAAGATTTACTAAGGGTCAATATTCACTTTTAACGGCAAAAAGGAGATGCAGACAATTCTTAGAGAAATCTTAAAATGAAAATAGTGATGTTACATTTTTATATCTGAAATATGCTGAATTCATGCAAGAAAAAACAAAAACGCACAATGTTCCAGCAATTTTATTGAATATTTCATACCCAGGCTGGGTTTTCCAACCTTTTCACCATCAGTTTAACTCATCTTAGCCATCTAGAACCTTAATCTATTAAACTTCTAGTGTTCCAAAAATTTTGAAATTTGAAAAGGTACACGGAAATGCATGAAATAGAGTAATCTTTTATTCTTTAATACTTTTTACAGCTGGAGTTACAAATGTGCATTATATGGCACAACAGCTAGGCTTTTGGGGGATGTAACACCTTTGCGCTACATATGGCACATATGACTAAGTCAGAACAGAAAAATATCAGAAGTATTCCAAGTGGTTAAAATGACTACATTCATGTACTTTCTTCCATGGAGGCATATTGAAAAAAGTCTTGTAAAGGCTTTTTAAACAACTTTAGTTTTATTTGATATTTTTGTAAACACATAGAGGACATCTTATCAACAATTCTAGTTATACAATTGATGACCTGACACACTGGGATATTTCACGTAGTACAGCTAAATTTCCACACGCGCAGATATAGCGCCCCACCCCACCCCTTAAATGACCGTATAATGTTGATAGGGACGTTAACCTTTATGATTTCATGTGTTCACAGTTATGGCCTTCAGACACGGGGTCGACGACTTCTCTTTGTACTTGTCACTTTATATCAAATATTAGGCGAGAGAGCTGCTAGAATGTTAAATATAAAGTCTCCATTATGAATCAACAGGCAACAAAGTTAGAACCCACCCCTCCCAGTAACCAGGCTTACACTCAACCATTTGGGTTAATTAATTTACTGACAAAAGGCCAGTCAAAGCACTGAACTTGTCATTCTAAAGTATTTTGTTTGAACCAGTCAGCTTTCGTTAAGATGTTAGTTTAAATACTAGGCCTATAACTCGCCGTCATCCATGTAGATCTATACTTTTTACGATAAAGAACAGTAGCACACAGCTGCACCTAACCGGCTACATGACGCCTCGTGTCACAGCTGTGCCCGGAAGCGTCATGCACGAACCGGCTTAGAGCAGAGAACCGGCCACCTGCATTGTGCTACACATTTTTTGTCATCCCATAACCGGCTACGTGCGATATAAAACTATCGGTCGTATTATTTAAGAAAAATCAAGTAGTATTTGGTCCCAACACTTAACATTTTGTATAGAAATATGTAAGAATATGCTGAGCGATTGAACAATAATCAGATGTTTATCCCTCCTGTAAAATTTGCCTTTCTGCATAAATTTACAGTTTGTATCAAAGTATAAGTGCAAGCTCAAGTTTTCAGGAGAAATGCCACATATACATTTGTTGGTATTGTTGGATAAGAATCATTAGTGATTTGGGTGATTATTATGGGTGATAATTTGGGTGACACTGATATAATTATTTCTATACCCAATAGTTTGACAACATCACATGTTATACATCAGTACTAAAGCCCATCTATCAACTAAGAGGAATAAAAATAGAAACTCCTTGCATAAGCATGAATGTTGATTTTAGTGAGTATTAGAAATCAACTAAAAACAACTAACAATCAGATAAAGCAAAAGAACAAACAACCATTACCCTTTACAAGAACACTCCAACACTTTTCCTTACTTATACTTAGCTATGGAATTTTTTTTAGGAGGATGAGAAAAGTAATGAATAAGAAAAGTCTTTTTTTTTCCAATAAAATACTTTACGCTTTAAGATAAGATTTTATTGATACATATATGGGATGAGAACAAGAAGAACTTACATGTTTTTCTCGTCCTCCATTTGCTCCTTTATCTCTCTCTCTATCACACTCTCTCCATCTTGTCCTAAAGTAAATAAATAAAGATTAGAAAAATCATTTGTGCTAGAATGCATTTGGTCATTATAAGATCAGATAAGATGAGATGAGATGAAATGTGGTAAGATAAGATAAATTTCATTGATCCACAAGGGTGAATATACCATTGCATCAGCATTCAAAGATTCAACATCAACGCAGAAATGCACTCACTACGTTCATGTTCAACTCCCATTATATAGAGCTCAGTGTTTATAATGGAAGTGTCTACGTTCTCTAACGTTAGAGAACATATACACGCTGTCTACGTTCTCTAACGTTCAGTGCTTCCAATTTTCCGCCATTTTAAAAAGTTTCCTCCAGACCTCATCTGCCGAACTGATGCCCGCCACCTCATTGATATCTCCCCCCCCCCCCACCCCTATGTTTCCCGACTTTCTCACTTTCTTTGTTGTAGAAGTAGAAAACTAGATGTCAACAGCTTGATCTATGTTGTTGTCTTTCCTGAAACAGTGCTGTATATTATTATTAAGCTTAATCTACCTCTGGTCGTTGGATGTTCTGATAGCCAAATGGTCAGCATGTCTGCGCTTGAAGTGTATGACACGGTGCACCGGCAGTGGAATTTTAGTTGCCGCGGGGGGTTCCCCGCCGGGCGCCTTATCACGTCGGGGCCACAGGGGTCAGCTCCCTGTCGCCGCTCTGTCTGGGCCGACTTAATTTTTGGTACTTTTCAACGTACAATTTAAGGTGCATCCTTGTATTTATGGTAATTCTCATATAGTGCACCCAAAGCACGCATTTCTGCTCTTGAGACTCAAAAAAGAACGGACATTGTAACTTGTCTGGTTATTTCGTTAGACGCGCTGGAGTCGGCAATGCTAAATTGTAATTTTTTTGGGACCAGCGTGAATGAAAAAAAATCAATATAAAAAAAACGCATCGTCAAAATCTGTCGAACTTTTGGAATATGAACGACATAACATTAGTGCAGATACTCAGAAAAGATGGTATCTGCGCTTATAGTAGAAGGCTGTAATTTTGCAATTTTATCCATCGGGCACACAATTCGCTACGAAGTAATTCCTCCAAATACAACTTTATGTGTCTAATATAATCATGAATATTCGCATATTTTCTCGAAAGTTTATAAAAGTTATCATGACGTTTCTCAATGAAAAGTACAAATCGATTTAATGCTAGAATATATCTTCAACGTAGATCTAATACACGAATAGTATCTGTTACACTTCAGAAATTGCTTACTTTTCTTAAAACGCTAAGTCTAGGTTTTGTAAGTTGACTGAATAATAGGGATGACTTCTCGTAATTGGGTTATAAGAATAATTTCTAGCTTTCCAGGGACACTGAATCAGCACCAGACTTTTCCAGCTTTTTTAACGTTTCTATAACCATTTGCAATAACTGACAATGTGACTTATTTCTTTACATTCATAATTGTGTCCGCGCATATTTCCTACACAAAAACTAAGAATGAATGTTTTAGCTGTCATTATTTTTATTCCATACTAGAAGTTTATCTCTACCCATGTATTTACACGGTTTTGTGGTTTTTTAAATCGCTTATATTATATCTTTTTAGTTGTATGCAGGCTGCCACAGACACAGCATGATTCATGAACAAACGCAGAGTAACTTTCTCTTGTTTAATAGTAAAATAAGAGCTAACGCTGATCGTCTTTAGTTAAAATATGCAGATGTGCATCTTTCTTCTCTTATAACTTGACTATTACTACTACCGCAGATTTAAGATTTCTCATGGTAAAAGACATGATATTCGTAGTCAGTTTAACACAGAATTTGGAGAGATCTGTCGTGCCTTTTTTAAAATAACAATCATTTATTCATAACATTGTAACTAAAATAGGACAAATTGGGTACTCTACAAACACTTGTCTAGAACAAAAACTAAGGCACAGAAACTAACCATTCTAACGCAGAATAAATCTCAAGACATTGAGCTTTTAGTACATTTGCGTAATGGTTTGCTGTGTGGGATGGGGAAGAAGTTATATCGTTTTAAACATAGTCAAAAATGCGAACTTCCCGACCGACACCGGCAAAGTCGCCTCAGGGCTCATTAACCCCGTGACCCCGAGCTGGGGAGCTCCGGCGGGCTGCTGAGTCACGCGAACTAAAAGTAACAGAATCGGATGAAAAGTGACGCCGTGATGAGTGTGGGTTCAAATCGCGGTCCCGAATTTTTATTTATATATATTTTTTTTGGGGTTTTTCTTCTTCTTCTCCTTCTCCCGACTGACCAAGAATTTTCCCCATAATTATAATTTGTTGCTTTGTAATTTCTTATGCAGTGATGAAGAATGCAAATTCTGGTTTTGTCTCAAGGAGGAGCTTTTATCTATTAAGGATAGGCCTACTTTTCCTTTTACCAATTTATACCTGGTTAAAGTACATTTTCAACAGTGGCTTTCCTTGGTCTGTGAGTCTGATTTTAAAAATTTATTTTAGAATCAGAGAGGCCAAATCTTAGCTCTTCAATTGCAAATTTTCTTTATCCAGGGCCTTCCTGCGGCCCCCAGACCCCTGCCAATTGTTCCTCCTGCCAATTATTATTCATCCTGGTTTGGGGTCCGGGGGCAAATTGTTGGTCAGTAAGGAGAAGGAGAGGAAAAAAGACCCAAAAAACACCCACAAACCCAAAGTTTCCGGGACCGGGATTCGATGCCATGCTTGGAAGCACTGAGCATTAGAGAACGTAGACAGCTTGCATACATCCTCTTACGTTAGAGAACGTAGACACTACCGTTTATAATACTGGTCAAATAAAAATAGACATGATGATCCTTACTTTCTTTCTTTGAGAAAATTCGAAGCAAGATGGTGTATTTTTTTGAGTGACATTATTGAATTGTATCACCAACAAAGTTTGGATCTAGAATCCTTGTCACTCTCCAAATTAAGATTTTTAAACAAATTCAACAACAGTTCTCCTGCTATTTTCTGCATCCAATCTCACTATCCATTTCCCCAATGTCACCGATGGTTAATTTCTGGTTTCTGAATAAGACAGAGATCTAGATCCAAAACTGTCAGCGATACAGAAACTTTTGCAAATTCTGAAAGGCAACATAAATTTAATTCTGGCTGTTCAGGAAAATCCAGGAAATTGATAGACTGAGTTAATGATTCTCCCACGTCCACGCACGCACTTACGCACTTATGCAGGCAGGATGGCAGGCAGGATGGCAGGCAGGCAGGCACGCACACACACACATATATATATAGTCAGATGCACAACTCACTCACACAAGCATTCCCAAACAGCATGTTTATTAGCATGACCCCCCCCCCCCCCTTCCTTTCTCTCTCTCTCTCTCTCTCTCTCTCTCTCTCTCTCTCTCTCTCTCTCTCACACACACACACACACACACACACACACACACACACACATATATTATAAACTCAGAGTCATCTCTGTGTTTCTTGGATACACATCAGGCACATGCATAGAGCATAATGGCAAGATCATTCTATATATTCTATTGAACTTAGATATTGTTCTCCTTCATCTAACAGGAAAGGAAACAAAGGAGTTTCCATCTCTCTATTTTTGAAACAGGTTGAAGGATTTTATTTCCTCTAGCAAATCATATAGGCTTCATGGAGAGAGTATTCATTATTGATTCAAATTTACAAAGACAAGTATTGAAATGGTGTTAATATCTTGAAATACGCTATTTTTTCTGCTTTCTTAATGACATTATTTCTTTCCTTTTTGTCCTCTGTTGTAACTGCAGGTCTATTATGGAGGAGTAGAATCTTTTTAAGATAGTGTCAGGAATTTCAAATAATTTAAGTTTTCGTTGAAAATGCATTTGTTGGTTAAATTTCTTTTTCAAAGGTTCTCATCCTCATCCAAATTTAATTTATCATCCACATGAAGTCCTAGACACTTATACTCTTATACAATTTGAACCTGCTCTCCGTTGATTGGACGATTAATACAAACAAATTATAAGATAAAAGAATAAATACCTCTCATTTTTTTTCTTTATTTTTCGTTGTATCTTCAGCTTCATAGGCCTTATCAGCACTAAAGGGATTCTATATCAACACTAAATACATCAAACATCATAAGACAAACAATGGTATTCAGATCCTTGCAGACAAAACTCAATGCACAAGTGAGGATCTATTAAAAAAAAAAAGACTCACACACTGTCCATGGGCGGACCCAGAAAAAAGGAATCCCAGATTGGGCTGGTCTTCTTAAACAGTCCATATTCCACTAACACAGAGTCAAACTCACCTCGCGATGTTCTTGGCACTCACTTGAAACAATGCGTTGCTTTTTTCTACAGCAATTAAAACTTGTGTCCAAAGCTCTCAAATGCAAGCCAAAAGTCAGTATTACCACACGCACACACGAAAATAGGTTCCCTAAGACATGGAGAGGGGAACTCACCATAGAAATTACCTTTTCCTGTCTTGTAGAAATATAGACATACCTTCCATTTCTTGATGAGTCCGGATCTGTGCTAAGGAGTTTTTCAAATGATCTGGAGAGAAAAGACGGAGATGTTGTTCCACATTTAATATGTAGATCTACATCCCCCAACTCTTTTTTTGAATTTCATTAAGTCATGTGAACATATCAAACAGAGAAACATCAAAGAAAATACCGTGACAAGTTTCTAAAGTATTTAAGACCATTTTAACAATGCCATCAATGCTACAAGTACAAATATAATAATACTGACAAGCTATACAGCTGAAATTGTTTTCACCCCATCTCACATTATTTCTAAATAAAAATAAAAGATCAAATAGAGCAAAATCTAAGATTAAAGAAAAACCTTACAATTGATCAAAGTCCTACAATTGAGTAGAGCCTTAAAGTTGAGTAGAGCTTTACAATTAAGAACAGCCTTACAACTGAGTGGAACACTTCTTAAATTCTAGACTTATCCTTCATCAACTCATCTTTTAAAGCTCATTTTTTTAACAAAGATTTGGAGTTTACGCAGTTTGGGTTCGAAAAATGACGAACATTATAACCCTTCCTCCCCCTCAAAAAACCCCCCCCCAGTAAAAAATGAATACGCCTTGTTCATCTTACCCTCATTTCACTTACTCATTTTCTGTTTGGACTTATTCAGTTTTTCCCCCAACAGTTTGGCCTCTCCATAGCGCTGTTTGAGAATCTGTTTGTTCATGTCAATCCTGTCCCGATCATGATAATCACGCATGAAAATGTCAAATGCTTCCTGGCGACCAAGAGACATGTTGCCCACTGTGAAAAAGAATGTAGACAGATTGGACAAGAGTAAGCAGACTTGAACATCTCCCATCCCATCATTGGTGCAAGACGTGCTATCCTGAAAGCAGAGGTGTCCCAAAACTAATACCCACTCAAAGATTCACACAGTGGTCAAAGCAATCAACAATTTTGGGTTGGGAAGTCGAGCAAACTAGGGCATACTTATTTAACGTGCAAGATATTTTATATGGGATCACAACATGTTTAAATTTATATAATTGGAAAAGTTAGGGAAATTCTGCTGTCCTGAGTCAACATAAAAATTATAGTTAAAAACCACCAAAGGACTTTCCATCAGATCGACAGCTCACACAGATCTACACCCATAACATTGCTCACACACTGACCCAGTTGCATTGATCTATGTCATCAATGTCAACCAAACTCCACCTTATTCTTCCATTCAGCAAATCAAGAACACTCACATATTTTTGTTTTCATTCTGTCCTCTTTATCAATGGCTGCTACAGAGCTCCTGTGTTGTCTGCTCTGCCTTTGTTGATCTACCCGACTTTCACTGTCTGGCCGATCTTGATGGGTGCTGCTTAACCTCTGACCTTCAGCACTGGCAGAAGGCTTTTCTCCCTGACTGTAGTAACCATTGACTCGCTCTGGGTTTCCCTCTCTTCTCTGAGAGGAAGAGTGGTTGGAATGTCTGGTCGCAGGCCGGTTGGCAATCGTCCCTTTGCCCTTCTGGCGTTCTTTCTTCAACATATTCACTAAAATGTCTTTGTGCCAAATTAAGGAAGATAAACATCTTATATACTATATATTTATATATACACTCTACCCTGTATATCATACTACAATTAAAAATGGCTTTTGACAAGAAAGAAAAATAATCAAGACAAATTAAATTATGATAATAATAATAATAATAATCACAATAATGATAATAATAATACTGCTGCTGCTGCTACTACAGTCGAACCTGCAATGACGGCCACCTCTATAAGACCGCCACTTGTACAAACCATCACTTTCCATTTCCCCCCTTGCGTTTTTACTACATAACTTCACTGCGTAAAACGGTCACTTGTCCAACGCGGCCATGGCCACTACATTTTAACACACAACCCCATCACACCAGACAATAACACCTGTCTTACACGGCCACTTTAGTGACTCCATTACGTTTCGTCATAATAATGCATTGGCCCCTGGCGTTGTGGACGAGCTGTCATAATCCAATCACCTGTCGTTGTTGTTAGGTAGTTCCCTCCAACCGATCGTGTTGCATTGGCCCCTCCCACTGTTGACCAATAGGTAAAAATTTTTCAGAAGCTGGCAAGTTAACCGCGTGATCCCTCATAACCCATAAGCCACACCCAGAACTCATACACAAATCATAAGTGAAATGAGTGGTCACTGTTTACCCAGTCTGTAACAAGGTAACAATGGATGTTAACGTGAACTTGCGACAGAAGCATCGCTTGTTCTCCGGGTCGAGTGGTGGGGACCCATGTGTTTGTTTTAAAATGGCACTTGGCCTTTCTCATCTGACACATTTCATTTTAATGTCACCCTAGCACAAAATAAGCAACAAAATATAAAAAAGCAAACTCAAGATATTAGCGATTGAAGGAGGTGAGGTCGTCATTTTTCAGCGTTGAAATTAGCGAGAAAATGGCCACCAAAGTTTGATAAATTCCAATAGTTAAAGAGTCTTTGAAAACTGAAAAATCACACATTTTGTGCCTTTAAATAATGTTTTTCAGTCAAATTTACATGGAAATGTGTTTTTATGTAGTAGTACAAGAGGTTAAGCCAAAAAATAAAAATTTGATAAAATTTTCCAAACTGGCGCAAAAATGTCTGTTTCTCTGATTTCGTTATTTTGACAAGCGCCTGATTTCACCACGCTATCTCACATATATTTATACCACTTCTAACCATAGCTTGACCCTTTCTTAAGCCTTTCCAATATATTATTTTCGCACATTAGGCATCATGATGTAAATGTACGCATACTTCTGTATCCATTGTGTAGTCATTATTGTTTTTCCATGTTCCTTACGAAGCCTTCAGGGCGAAACTTTTTCAGTTTTATAAGTAATGGAATTTTATAGTCTCCACCAATTTTTAAACTTTTTTTAAATCTTTAAGCTTACAACAATGATATGGTGAGACTTTTCTTATCTTTCGGCATAACAGTCTATTGTGATTTTAATAGTATTGTTTTAAAGATCTAATGTTTTCCTCTTTTTTGTGCCAGAGTCCTTTTCAAGTTATTTACACATTGTGTGACCACTTGATTGCCTAGTAACTCTCAACCAGGACAATAGCAAGACCCATCCCTGCATACAACCTGCTCATCAAATTAGTAAGATACCAAATTAATCTTTGGTTCCCTTCTGCCTGCAATGCATCCCATATGTGCCCCAAGGGACTCCGAATTGAGCTTCAAAGCCCTTTCACAGACATTCCCATCTGTACCTTCTGGAGTTCTACTCTCCATAATTGTTCCCACCATCATTCTGATGTTTCTACTTATCAATTACTATCACAAAGCCATCCTTAAGTTCCACCACCAGATTGACAACATCCTTGGATCTACCTTGATCAACCAAGAAACAGTCAAAAGCTCAACGCCCTCTCCTCTGATCTACACTGCAAACATCTAAAAAACTGCACAACCTCAGGATAGAGAGACTCTCTACAGACCAATGGCATCCTCCGTACTCCTTCTCGGCAGGAGACCCACATTCACATTCCTCTCCGAACAATCCATATGGTTACCCTCGATTCCTCACAACATATTATCCGTTATCTACGAATTGTTGTGACCACCCCACCAGTTACCTGCAAGCCCTGACGCTCTCCTATCACATTCAGCCCAACCCCATGAACTCATCTTGGTTCCTACTGTCTCTCCTCTTCCCCCTACATCTCTTGAATCTGACTTGATATCAACGAACCCTGATGTCCACACACCTGTTAACTCTAATGGACTAGTGAAACCAGACTCAGATGGAGCCTGTCCACCTTTACCTCTTCCGTATATACTGCATCCCCTCAAAACCTGGGCCCTTTCAAAAATTAATTCCAGCAACCTGGAAAAGTTAGGATGTTAGGGAGGTGAAATAGTGCTGTCATCATTGGAAATGAGTTTAGACCATAGAGACATAGCAACACAAAACAAAGACGGAAGGGATGAAAACATACCAAAGACAAAAATATCAAGGAATATTTCAAAATGCATTGAAATGATAAACATCTCCAAAAGTCTTAAAGGCACTGCATATAACAGTCCCCAATTTAAAAAGAAATAGAGATTTGTACTGAGGTATATCAAAGACTGCACATAACTATTGATCATTATAATACACTGAGTTTCTGTGTAGCATAGACTGTCCTTTTTCTTAACTCAGCACAAAAATGGGACACTTTGCCTGGACAGATGAAGACAATAGAAACATTGAACTGGGGAAAATGAGTCACAGACCTTGGCTAAGAAACCTTTCAAACTGTTCTCAAGCAAGGAGTGACCTGGCTCACTTTCTTTACTCAACAGTGTGGTGCCAACAGGATACTGATCTCATTGTCTCTCTGTTCCACCAGTTCTTTCAGTTTCCTTGTTTCTGTGTCTCGGTATGGCCCAATATCCGGAGTGGCTTCCCTCATCATTGGATTTGACTGTACAGGGTCTGCAGCAGGTGGTCTCTCCAAAACAAATCTCTGAGAAATATAAAATTTAACATAAAAATAAATTGCTTTTTTTTAGCTGCATGGCCCAACTTTCAAAAGAAATGTCCAACCTACATGCAAATCTGTAGTAAGATATTTGGTTCATTCATACCACATCAAATATCAAAGAAAAACCTGATATGACAAGAAAACGGCATTGTCAGGTATATATCTTCAGACTGAGCAATCTTTGTCTTCATACCTAAAGATTTCCCTTAGCATTGAGAGTAGTCTCATAGCTATTAAAAGCTCTCTCGCAAGTGTTCACTTCTGGTATGAAGTCTTGCATGTGATAAATATTGTGCACTGCCAATATGTGTGTATGAAGCTACAAGTATCCCCTTTTGAGATTGACCACAACATACACTCGCCCATCCTGTAGTGACCAGACACTTGCCTTCAGCAGGTTCTTCTTTGAGGCTGTACTGTAAAGTATGCAGACATAATGCCATGGCCAGAGCTGTTAAAGTACTTTTAAAAAAGTACTTAAGTACAAATTTAAGTACAATCTAAAAAAATGTACTTAAGTACAGTAAAAGTACTTTCCTATAAAATGTACTTGAGTACAAGTACTTTTTTAAAAAGTAGTTATGAGTACATTTTGAGTACTTTCTGCTAATATGCTAAAACACTTCAGCGCTTATGCAAAACATCATATTTTATAACTTATCCAGTATATTTGACAAATTAGGCTATTTATTACTAAAAATGTAAACAGTATACAAAACATTTGAATATACAATGTACGCACTGAACGGTGGAAATGGTCCTTGAAGTTGAACAAAAAACAACCCAAACGAACAGACGCAACTAGTGGGTAAGTGATATTACGAATAGAACTTGTTTGAGCAAGACAATGTGATCAAATTATGTAAGTCAGTCCTAGAGGTCGGATAGTTCTACAGAAAGAGTATCCAAATTGAAAAATGTAGATACAAAGTTGCTCTTAAGAAAACATAAAATTGATGAAAATGGCCCGCATAGAAATGGAAAAGTGCATTGAATTCTTCATTAACAAATCCTCAAGGAATCAATGTAGCCTTAAGCAAAAACCGCCAAATAAAAGTTTAAAAGAAATTTAGGAAGCCTAAAAATTGTTAGATACACATTGAGAACACAGTTTCAGCTTCAATTGATTATAGTGGTCTGACAGATTTTGGTCACACTGTGACTGTGTAGTCCACGGCGCCAACGGCAAACCAAAATACAATAATAGTTTCCTAGAGTCTAGTAAGTGTAGTGTAACCAAAGATTCTCTACTGCAGTAGTCTCCGCCTAAGATCCCAGTGCTCGGAAGCAAGGAAAATATGGGATCTTAGCCAACGAAGCCAAGGAAGAATCTACAGTGACCCATGAACTGACGTGACCCCTGGGTGGATTTATGACATATGGCAAGCAAAGAGTGGTCAACCTTGATGACCAATCACAGTGGCATGAGGCATGCCTTAAATAATATTATATATACACACTCATTATCGTGAGTCTTGAGATCTTTATCTACGTTTATCCAGTTGCCCCTCCCCTTTACCTGTCCAACAATTTTAGCTTTCCATCTCTGATTGAGTCCCCCCCCCCCCCCCCCCCCCAACCTCCTTTGTCGTTACTCACCATTACGTTGTGACCACACCAATTAAAATTCAGGTTGTCTCGCAAATTCGGAAATAGAGAAAAACTGCTTTCAATGGTCAGGGAAGAGTTCACAGTTTGATGTGATCCCGCCTGGAGGGAACTTGTAGGCCCTACCCACCCAGGGAGTGATGTAAGTTTAGGTGGTGAGGTCAGATGCGAGTGCGATGTTTGGGGAAAAGAAACGCATCGGTCAGTTCACACCTTGGTGTGATCCCGTCTGGAGCAAACATTGTACCGGTTCATGGAGTTTTACAACGCTTGTGATCACATTCACGATAGTGGCAGATCTTTGAGGCGACGGGCCGTTCTTTGATCTCAACTTTTAACTCTTGGCGGTTGATCGGGTTTTTGTTCCGTAAATTATGATCAGAAATGCCTGCACTTACCCTTTCATTAAGCTACCAAAGTACTCAAAATGTACTTTAAAAATACTCAAAAGTACTTTTATAAAAAGTATCGGAGTACAGTAAAAGTACTGGTTTAAAAAATGTACCGGAGTACAGTTAAAGTACCGAAAATTGTAACGTAAGTACAAGTACCGGAGTACTTGTACTCCGTTACTACCAGCTCTGGCCATGGCAGGTGTCAAGTTTTGAGCCTACTTTATTACAATATTACAAAATACTTTAAAATCTCTTTGAAAATATAAATGGACCAAATCCAAATTGTACATGCATCTCGTTGTGCTTCATTGCTTTCCGTACTAGTGGTGGTGGTGTTATTCTTCATTGTGTTTGCTAAGATGTTGTTTGTCTCGGGTAGTGGTTTTATTGTCTATTGTAGTTGTGGTGATATTTCTATCAGGAAAAGAATGTAGCATTCCTAGGATTGCCATGTGTTCACTACTTGTGACAAAATGTCAGATGTATACAAAAACACAATCTATACAAGAGATCAATGCATCAGCGTTAAATGCAACTGCAAGAGCTGGATTCTTTTCAAATTCTAGGAGAATTGTGAGCATCAACAGCTCACTCCGAGTGAGTTGTGAGCAGGCTTGAGGCTTGCGTCCTGTGACCTCACATACTTTTATCCCCGCTGCGGGCATGGAACCCGTCAGCGGCCGACTGTGCCTGTTGTTCTTTCATTTTTGCCTTCAACCCCTTAAAACAAAGTGTCCCTCTCTCTCCCTTGTGCACATACACAAACACACACCCACACACACCCATGACACGTACACACACACACATACACATATATATACATACAAACACACACACACACACACAGATACACCCTTTTCAATAAGGTGTAAGTAAAAAAAAATACTAGTCTGAGGAGTCATAAGTAGTCAAGTAAGTCAAGATATTAGGAAAGTCAAACATACAACAGCTAAGAGAAGTGGATTTCTGTGATAACCATCATCAATATTACATTATACATATATGAGCAGTTCATTTAAAAAAATAAGAAACACATATGCCACATTTTTCTCAAATCGATTTTTTTTGCTTTCCCATGGCCACAGATCTTTCTTGGACTCTATCTAATGACATGGGAATCAGACTGTAAATGACTTTTTTATAGCCCAATCCTCCCATCGAAAAGAGGCGTGAAGGAGAAAGATGGGGGATTCAAAAGGATACACCAAAATCATCAAACGATTTTTCAAAAAAAGAAAACTCCAGCTTGGACCCACGTGTTGTACAAAACTTCAAGTTTTATTTCATTTCTTACGAATGCTCAATGTGGCCACTACCGGCTCCACAGACAACATCAAGCCGATATGAGAATTCTTCCCAAATGCGCTTCAGAAAGTCTCAGTCCATCATGTTGATTGTAGCTGTTATTCAATCTTCCATGCCATTGATATTTGCTGGAAGTAGCGGAACATTAACTTTGTTTTTAACATAACCCCACAAGAAGTGGCTTTTCACTTTCTGCATGCAGATTCATTTTTTAACAAGATGGAGTACCGTACCATTGGCATCTCTGGTTTTGAGCCTGTCTGAATGAAAATCTGCCTCAGCGGGTGGATTGGTAAGAGAAGTAAAGATGCTCTCTGTGTGTGCGCGTGTGTGTGCCCTGTGTGTGCGTGTGTGTGACATTATGATGAAATCAGGCACTTGTCAAAATAATGAAATTGAAGAAATCAGCATTTTTCTGCCCGTTGGTCAATTTTTAACGAACTTTTGGTTTTTTTGGCTATCATTTGTTCATTTAAAACACATTTAAGTTAAAATTTTTCTGAAAAACGTTGATTGGAGGCGAAAAAATGTAAATGTTCAGTTTCCAAGGACTCTCAAGCTTTGAAAGTAACCAAGCTTGGGTGGCTATTATCTCACCAATTTAGCTTCCGAAAAAAGGCGACCCCCATCTCATTCAATAGCAAATATTTCGACTTCTACTTCTGTTTACGATAAATGGGTATTTTTTTCACAGAAAGGAAGACAACTGAAAAAGCTTTAAGATGATACCAATACCTCCATTTGCACAAAAATTGCAGAGTGCCTTATTCCACGGCAATGTGACACATACACGCACATGCACACACACACACACACATTAAATCACAGTAATCATTTTAACTTCACATTGTTATGCATCAAGTTTTATTTACTTTGCAGCTTATTTCAAGGTCAATACGACTGCATTTTATCAGCTTATCACCCCCATGATATAGGTCTAAACAATGGACTGACCATACATCAACTGACTCTGAAGTCCAATTCTAATCACAGCTCAGCTATGAGCAGTCCTAATGAACAGTATACGGTACCACTCGTCTCACCCTACATGCCTAGCCTACAGCCAATTAGTGTCAGCCTAGATTTAAAGCTGGTGCTACCGCTGCCCTGTCCATGCTCACATAGTACGTAACATCATGTATTACCTTTATTCACAGGCTTCATTGCCTGCATTCACCCATTCATAAATTAATCACCCCCAAGGCTTGTCAAATGCGCCATCACTGGGCCCTCACCCAGCCCACACCCATACCCAGCCGACAACCAACCTCCCACCCCCTTCCAACCATTCAGCCTCTCAATGACTGAACAACAGGCTACGTATATACAACCTTTCACCCTAAGCTTAGAGAATCCTATCTATTCATGGCACCAAAGCATCAACGAACATCAATTCAGAGCTATACATAGGAACAATTCTGAATGACTGAGTTGAAGCTATATATATGTAGGAATTGTAAAGTCAACTTTGATTTGTAGCTATATATATCGGCACAACTCTGAATCAGTGACTTGATGCTATATGTAGGAACAATTCTGAGATGCAGTGACAACTCTGAATCACACCTATATTGGAACAACTTTGAATCACACCTATATATTGGAACAACTCAGAATTGCAGCTATATATGGGCACAACTCAGAATCACTGAGTTGTGAGCAGGCTAGTGAATTGCTCCAGAGAGAATTTCTGATGTTACAACTTGCTGCGTGCTGACAGACTTTTGACTTTCAAATCTATCACTGCTCATGGAAAGGCTGGCTGTATTTTGTCATAACATTATAACAGTTAAGATTTAGATTCATTCGAATCACAGACCTGACACACTAATTTTAATTCTGATTCATTGCGGCAACAGACTAGTGATAGTGTCATCACCAGCAAGCAGCACAACTCTGAATTGCAGCTATAATTAGAAGCAACTCTAGACTGCAGCTACTTAGATGCAACTCTGAATCTCACTGATTTTGTTTTTGTTTTTGTAAAGTGTTTTATGGCGCTCGCAGCTGCATAAGGTCATATGAGCGCGCGGGACACACCTAATATTTTCAGTTGGTAGGAAATTTTGAATTTTGCCCGGGTGGCGGCCGAAGCCTACTCTTATCGATTTTAGACCACCAAGGGATCTTTAACGTGCGCAACTTGCACACGGGCCCTCCGAAATTTTTCGCCCTTGTCCGAGAAGGCTAGGTGTAGATCTTTCCTACCAGAAGATCAGGGGTGTAGCTGAAAGACAGCAGTAAGAAGAAGAAGCCAAGGAGTAGCAGTAGAAAGGCTGCAGAAAGAATCAGGAGCCCAGAGGAAGGGGCAAAGGAGGTGAGGGGGTGGGGGCAGAAAGAAAGGAGACGAAAGCAGACTCTCGCTGATTTACTCAAGTGAGTGGTGAGTTGATTCACAGAAGTGGAAGTTGTGAGCAGTCAACAGAATCACTACCAGGATCCAACTCTGGCAACTGCATTAAAAGTGACTTACTTTCAATATTCTGAAGCACTTTTGAATCTTGCGAAGGTCATGTCCTACAGTCAGAACACTCTCAGGATCTGGGTCATCAAGATACAATCTTACAGCCTCTTCACATCTGTGACAAAGATAGATTCGACTAGATACAAGCAGGAATTCACTATCTCAAAGAAGATTCACCATAAGGCTGAATAGAATAGCATATACAAATGTCCTTTTGATCTTTGCAAGGAGTCCAATCAAACAAAAAAGTAATCTCTAACTATGATCTCACACCTCTCAAACTGCTGTTGACAATAAACTGTATGACAATAAATGCTACAGATCATTTACATAGCTAAACCAATATTCTTTTCTTCATTATTCTTTGAAAGTAAAATTAATTCTCTTGCCATCACTAAAGCACTGAACCTATTTTAAGAAAATGAATTCTTTCCGGACAAAAAAAATCTAATCAACTCTGCACGGAAAATCTGAAAGTTACAGAACAAAGGATGTGGCTACCCTCTGTATGAGTAAATGAAGGAAACATTGAAGATAGCTTTTCACCTGTCAATTTCCTCTTGGGAGAGTTCCTCTGAAAGTTGCTCCCCTGTTGCCAAAGCAACCTGCTCTCTCAGCTCGGCATTGTCCCGCTTCAACTTGGCAATCAACAATCGTGGGTCCAGCTCCTCATTCAATGTGACATCATTCTTGATCATGGCAACTCTTTGTGCAAAACGACAAGTCGAGATGGACTCCTGAAAATGACAACTAATATTAGCCACTAAATTTGGAAAGGCTTTGGAACAAACAACATGTCAAACCCAATGACATGGAACTATAATACTTTACAGAGTAGTATTACAATCTGACACAAACCTATTTTAAGAAAATGAATTCTTTCCGGAAAAAAAAATATCTGATCAACTCTGCACGGAAAATCTGAAAGTAACAGAACTATAATACTTTACAGAGTAGTATTACAATCTGACACAAACCTTTGTTCTTAAGATCATTATTTTACTCTTTAGTTGAGCTCGGTGCCTGCCAACCTGGACGATTTCATAACATTGGTTTTCATGGTGGGTAGAGGAAAGATTCAGATAGTGACAGGTATTACTTAATGCTCCTCTGGGAAATCCATATTAACTGGGCTGTACAAAAATTTTAGCCTCTTAACCCTTGTCCTGCAGGGGCCGGGTTTATGTTGCCTGATAAGCCTATTTCGACATCTCGCCTTCGTTCTGGTCTCGTGTCAGTCCGGTGCCTTGCTCAGTGTAGGCGCGCTGAGCATCATCTACATTCCATTCGGGTCCCGCGTCGGACCCGCATTCACGCAGCTCAAGTGTGTGTGCGTCAGTCTGCTTGAGTCTGTGGGCGTTTGTGGCCTTCTTCCAGAACCGCCTGTGTTAGTTCGTAACCAAAGCATACGTCTCATTCAAAACACGCCAAGTTGGTAGCTCTAGATGTCCATCCAATGAAATTATAGAACAAACCGACCAACTTAGAATGAGGAGCTCGAAAGGATAGTCAGGAAACAAGACTTCCATTTTTCTATACAAAATCTTTTAAATGAGCTTGATTTTGTATGAAATGATGCTACTTGACAAATAATAAGCTTGTTTGATAGTTTTGAATACCATTGTGCAGGTAAAAAGAACAATTTGAATGCAAAACATTCGGAAATTGACCTACATTATCCCCTTTCGAAACCCAGATCCTTCATAACAACAAGAGCATCTAAAAAGGTTATTCGAATGGGAGTAACTACTCGTAATGTCTCATCAGCTTATGAGAGGGAGTTATTCATGTGTTCGTAACACTTTATAGATAGAAAGCTATAAAAGATAGAGCTTTATTTTCATCATCGATTAACACACTCCCACGGTATTCATGGCGAAAACACACGTTTCCAGGCCCACTCGCTGTACTCCAACAGTACACGCTGAGTGACCCCGACGGCCCGCCCAGAACGTCCGACGTAACAGGCTGCTGATAAGATTCGCATCTCAGCACAGACGCAGGACAAGAGTTAATAGTGGCAAAAGAAGGCACTAGCTATAAAAGGTTGAGAAACACTAGTTTATCTGAAACATATGTGAGGCATTGTGGTGAAATCAGGCACTTGTCAAAATAATGAAAAGGGAGACAATTATTGTATTTTCTTCCCATTCGACAATTTTTATCAATTTTTTTTTTTTTTTGGCTCAACACCTTTTATGTCTATTCAAAAACACATTGCTGTGTGGATTTCACTGAAAAATGTAGATTAAAGGAACAAAATATGTAAATTAGTTATCATCAACATTTAAAACTGAAGAGTAAAGGAGTTAAAGATGGTCAATTGCACTTATCAAGAAAGTATTACATGCACATATTTTAAAGATGCATTTAAAAAACAATTTCCTCAGGATTGAAGCAAATGACAAACGCAAACAGTTCTCTCCAAAACATAAAAATAAAAGGATCTAAGAACTTACAGAGCCTCACACAGAAAGTGCCAAATCAACCTGGTGTACCGGGTGTCTAAAATAAAAGAGGAGCCACTTAGATGGCAATAATTTGGAAATCTTTGAACAAATTTCGATAAAACTTCACAGAAAAAATATTCGATCTTGGGGATTTGTCATTACAAAAAGAAATAATAAATCCATTTGTTTGAAAAATATCAAATTTAAAAAAATTCAACCAAAATTGACTAAAATGCAAAACTTTGCAACTTCTTAAAAATGAACCATATTGTTCTACTAGCTGAGCCCCCTTTCATTGAAAGGAATGATCGGTGCATTAACATCAACTGAAAGTATTTGGCCTACTATATATTTACTGGAATGGAGCAATAAATCTTGAGAGATGAAAAAAATTAGAAGGTCAAGATCTATACTCTCAAAACAAAATGCGCTTACCAAATATCACTTCTGGCACTTCCGCTGTGATGGACAGCTACGAAGATTTGTATCGTTTCTCAGTGGAATAATCACAAAGGCCAAAGAAGGACGGGAACTTATTGTCGAATATATTTTTCTTACTTCAGGAAATGAATAAATAAAAAAACGGGCTCCGTCATGGGGACCTAATCTATCTACCATAATTGGGAAAAGCGCAAAATTTACTAATTCAGCTAAGGGGCATGATAGGCCCATTCTGGTTTCAGGACAAGGACAGTTAAACCACAACAGTCACCCCGGATAGATATCTAACGAGAAAATTTAGAAGTTTGGTAAGAATATATGTTGTACTGTGGGATCGGGCCATAACTCTCACTTCAAGAGTGACTCTGATATGGTTGCAAGAAAGGTTTGCGGAATGTCTTATAAGCTGAAAATTTACAAATTAAAAGGTTACCACATTCTCCTCAACCAGAGCTATCAATTGACTGGGACTGGGGTTAGGAAGTGCACAAAAATGGCTGGGTCTGGATGTGCTTCTTTGGTACCCCCCGAAACTGAGAATATACGCTCTTGGGATGGTGGGAGGTACACAAGCGCTGCTGAAAATATACGCGCTTGGGCCTGGAAGGGTTAAAAACTTAATATTCCTTGAACCCATTGATTGATTTTCTTCATATTTACAAACTTGACGTCCTCACGGTTGAATTTTATTTGTTCAAATTTTGGTTGAAATTAATGTTGAGATGACCGAGTTATTACCATTTCAGTGGGTCCTTTTTTTTGTTATAAGACACCCTGTAAAATTAAGAAATCATAGTAAATTTGTAAGAGAAAGAAAAACTGAAGATATAATTTTATAAAGAAACACAAACACATAAAATATTGATAAGAGATCAAATTAGGAAGGTGAAAAAAAGAAGAGGAGGGAGAAATGGAAGAGGAAGAGGGGGAGGAGGACAGAGGATTGATTCTTCTATGACTGACATCCATGCTGCGTTTCTCCATGGAGCAGGTGGCGATCATTGTTGTCATACAGTTGCCACCGAGGCTGTCACGAAGCACAGAGGTCATCATGGAGTTACGATATGGAATGTGAGACCGACTTTTCTCCGACAGAGCAATGATCACCTGGCAGGGAAGACAGAACATTAGAAAACAGTTGAAGAACCAAAGACATCTCGTTTTCTCTTTCTGCATTACCTATTCAGCTTGTTGGACATTGTTGAAGTGTTCTGTCGAGCACTTGAGGATTTTTCCTTGTCCCCTATCAGCGCTTTCCCGTCTACACTGAGGAGAGGGGATGATTCACACACAGTGGGTCAGTACACAACCTTGAGAGGTGCTGTAGACGTTCCTCATGTCCTTCCTATCTGTTTAGGCATGCAAGGCATCCACCATGTTTCGAACATAACCATGATGACACATAGTGGATAAATTGTTTGTCATCATTTTGGAGTATAACATCTTTTTACATCAAATTTTCCCCTCTCATTAACATCTAGCCAAGCACGCGTGGTGGCATCTAGATCTACCACAACTTGACCATTGGAACGCAGTGTGATGTTAATCATTACTGGGTTAAATTCAATTAAATGGGGGGAAATATTTTTCGGACAGAACAGCTTTTTTTGAAAATAACATGTTATGATTTGATGACAACATAAGAAAACTTAAATGAATTCGTCTCATCCATCGTTATTCTTTTTGCCGTCTTGCATCGCACAACAATACACTTTGAATGGATCGACAGGAACAATGCACGTTCCTCCACCCCTATTATTTTTCGTTTTTTGATTGGTTCTTTCGAACATAAGAAATGACGACAGAACATGAGGCGTCGCGGGATTTCCGTTTACTACAAAATTATGCACAGTCATAGCCAGGGTGGAGAGTAAACATTGAACAATATTATGTTTGTTCTAGAGCCCCAAACTGGCCGATAGAAACGAAGTCACAGGGAATCGAAGTTGCCTTGTGAAAAAGACAACACGAGTTATGCTCGAAAATGAAAATCTTGAAGGCTCACAAAGAAAAAACAGCTACAGATATCATTATTCCTGATGTAGCACCACAAATAATGTAGTTATAGTAGTAAAAGTGTAGAAGGACGAGTTTCTCAGTAATTATTTCATTGTTGAACTTGAAGACAGAAAAAGTACAAACTCGACATGTCACGTTTTGCATTCTAAAAATACATTGATTTCAAAACTAAACAAATTTGTAAGATTTCTTCTGATGGCCCGACTGCCATTTCTCTGCTCCCATAGCTGAAACATCATATTAAGCAAATTTCAAAGCTCTAGCATCATTTTTATTGGAAAAGGAAAGGATTTTGCAAGGTACATGATGAAACCCCCACCTATTGGCAAAGGCTCAAATAGATGGTATACAGACACAGAGAGAGAGAGAGAGAGAGAGAGAGAGAGAGAGAGAGAGATTGTATTTAGACATTTTTATGAACAGGAACATACTGTTACCCTGGATTATTAGAAAAAGTGAAGAACAAAGCAATCTCAGCTGTTTCAAAACATAAAGAGCTAGAAATATTAAAAACTTTCTTGTTTTGTATAATCAAAGTCAGAGTAGGAAATAGTCATGTAAATTACCTGTTCCAAGTAGTGAAGAGACAGGTTGATATATTTGGCCTCTGTTAGAAGTGTACCGTTGACTCCAGTCTTTGCTACACGCTCTGACCTGAATGTGACAGGTAGTTATAGCAGAATGAAACCTCAGAAAGCTTTTCAGTGATGTCATTTTAAAAACAGTAAATTCTGGAGAAGCTTACAATACAGAAAACCGGAGATAAAAATGTTCAATGCTGTCTCTTTCTTCTGTATTGTAAATGTAATTTGAGACCTCTTTAAGAGCTTCTTTGAATAAAAGTAATCAAAATCTTTATGTGACACAATAAGATATCCTACACAAAAGTTGGGATCTCTGATTTGCCACTTAATACATCATTTTAGCAACTTCTACTGACATTAGACACACTTCTTTGCCATTACCACTGAAACTTTATATTTACATTTACAACTTCAGTGCAGAATCATAATCCATCATCTATACTTTTTCCTTTTTCCCATATATATTCAAAACACAAAATATCCTTTTCTAACACTTGCAGATCCAAGAGACCCAAATAATGGCAGACAGCTTAACCCGAGTTTTATTAAAATAAAATCATACCTAAAGGAAATCATGCATATATAATATGTCAAGCTATTCTGGTAAAAAAAAAATCTTAAGTCAATGATAAATCATAATAAATCTTGTTGACAAATAAAATATCGTTACCAAGACCTTGTTTGCTCTACACAACCCCCTTCTTTATGTACTTTAAGACACTTACTGCACTGAAAGTTAAGAACTTGAAACAAAACGCGAATACTTTACCCTGCAAGATCCACAAGGTGAAGTTTTGCTTTCCTTATTGTGGCTGATCCTTCTTGCTTGCTTGTCAAGTGAACAGTGAAGATGCAATGTGACCGAGAAGAGGCTTGGTTCATCGGGGTCTAAGAATTACACAACATCTCTCATGGTACACTGGGAACTGCCCCCATCACTACTGACATTATTCATATTTTTAGCATTTTATTCAGCAACTGAGAATCACCAAGAAAGGCCCACTATCTAGGTAATATTTATACAAAACGCTGAAAGTGTAAGTCGGTTTTATAGAAACCAAAGTCTGAAATGACTGATGGTAGAGAACCCGAAACAATAAAATTAAGAGTTTTAGTCATGATAATAATCATAATAATGATTGCACTTATATACACATATCCAATCCATTCTCTACACTATGCTTTATGCCCTTTACAACTATCATTAACTTAGCAGAAACATTCTTGGCTTCCCAGGAAGCATACAGTGCAAGCAGCCGATTAATCACTCAACCACTAACAAACCGACAAGATGTTCCGCAGTCTGTTGACAGGTACCCATTCCCATCTAGGTAATAAAATTTTGTAAAGGGCATTCCACAAGGACACCATGTCAGGCCCCTGATGGGGTTCAAACCTACAATTCATCAGTTGTGAGCCAAACAGTTCAACCACTAGACCCCTGATGCCACTTTATAGCCATAAAGCCATTCATCTCTTATCAACTCGAATGCTAGTGATGGAAAAGTAGCGTTCAGCAGAAACTTTTAATAACACTTAGTATACCTCAGCAATCATTCTGTTGGTGTCTCCCATAAAAAGAAGATTGAGAGAGTCTTCTTCAGAGCCTGCCTGGTGCACTGACAAATTCTTCAGGTGAATATTTTGATCTGCATCTTCCATGAGAGATACTTTCCTGGAAATATGTATATATAAAATGAACTATGAATTTTTAAGTTCTATAGTTTGTTCACTTTCATCTGTCAGGTGCTAAAACAGGATTAAAAACAAATCGTTCTGTTTAATCTTCTGAGGTCCTCGCATGCCGGTCTACAAGTTAGATGACCAACAGAATCTAACAGCCCATTAACTCTTTGCAATTGTAATGAATTTCCCAATTTCTCTGGAATTAATTTCTGAAAGTGCTTATATTTTTCAGGGGTGAAGACAAACATGCTTCTCACAAACCAAACATATTTGATGTCATTTTAAATGTAATATCACACAGTATCCATTTATGGTATATTTCTGTGTATTGTGTATGTTATGAGTTGACAAAGTGATTTCCTAACGTATCTCCACTAGCCAACATATCAAGGTTAGATTGTTTCTTGTCAAATATGATCCAAAAGCATAGGGAATACACTTACTAAACATATGCAACATGTAGGAATCCAGTAAAAGTGGGTGGGCATAGAGTTGAAATTTACACAAAGTTCCTGTTCGCTAAATTAAAAAAATATATTAAAAATCCACAAATTTTCTCATCCCATTTACACAATTAGCACATGACACAAGGTGAAACTTGATGCATATACAACCCTAGAGAAGACATAACTCTTTCTAGGGCTTGTGATATTAATAAAGCAGTCTGTTGGATGTAGAAGTGGCCTGTTAGGGCAGGTGTCGTACACATACACAGCATGCCAAGTTTTTCTGGGATGCTTTTCGCTTCCAAACTTCTCCATCCATTGGAACTCCCTGCTGCTTTGCTTCAGATTCAAGTTGTTGAGCGAGGGTCTTTTTGTGGGCAGAGAAAGTCAAATTACGCTGCTGCTCCTTTGTTAGGGGTTGCACTCTTGTAAGCTTGAAGAGGATATTGGCATTCATTATAGTAAATGTCCCAAATCTCCAAAAATGCCTCTTCCACCACTTACAACATTTTTTTAGGAGATGGAATCCATAGTAACCGAGCTGTTAATCTGCTCGGTAACAACCATTCATGAACTGGTAGCAGGTGTCCATGACCACAGGTTTTGTTTCCCCATAAGTGCCACCATGTTCATAGAGACCTCAGTTGACAATCAGAATGTGTATTTGGGCCTTTTCATCTTTGATGGCACAGCACATGATACAATGATCTTCTGCCGGCCAAAACTGAGAATCCATTTGATTCACCTTTAGGAAAAGCATTCAGAGTTGTTGCTCCAATGTTTCTATTTATTTTCCTCTGTACCTTTGACCTGGCCTCACTTGCCCTCCCTCCTGCCCACGTTCAGGAGCAGTGATGGGATCCTCGATTGTGATTCCGCATTCCACAGGAGCAATGATGGGAGCATTGATTTACAACACGCCTTATTTTAATGAAAACCATTGCAAAATACGGTTACAACATGTTTTCTTTGATGTTAGACTAAACTGGATCTAAATAATAATGGGTGATTTACCATAATAAACAATAAAAACACAAAAAGGTTGACCTATTTGAGCCCAAATGAAGAAACTTTTTAATTACCGGATGAAGATTTTACAACTTTTGTTTGGTTGTTAGCTTACAAGAGTGTAATGCAAAGTTTCAGGCGCATTCGAAAATCAATAAATGAGCAAACCAATTTCTAAAATGGGCACATGAAAGCGACCAAGCTATAGAAACACATACGTGATCTCAAAATTTCAAAAGAAACTTTGAAAAATACAAAAATAAAACTTATTTGAAAAATATGATTTTCTCATTCAAATATAGTACACATATAATATATACAGCACATTGACATTGTACTTTTATTCAGTGATGTTGGGCGGGTTGTAAAGAAGGTGGGGCTTGCCGTGACCAAACATTAAGATCGCTCAGATTATAAAGAATGCATTATGACTGAAAAGACAGTGAAACACGCATAAAAAAGCAACGTGAAAATAAAAACAGATTCACAAGTATTACAATTGTGTTAGTGGCAATAATACCTTTGAAACTGGAAAAGCGGACTCACCTATTCATCTTTATACATATATATATTGTGTCCTTCACGTTTTATGTTAAGAAAATTTGCCGGTGACTTTTTGGTTGAATGGTGTACAAATGAAGAATTCTTCATGATTATAATATCTCTTTTGCTTTCCTGAATAGTGGCAATGAAGAAATTCCATTTTCAGACCTCGGAAAGCTCTAATTTTCAATTTCTTCCAGGGTTTCGCCCCCGACCCCCCATTGGACCTTACCGGGGGGGGGGGGACTATGCCGGAGGGAAAAAAAAGAAAAAAATCTTTTTTAGATGTATTTGAACATACTGGAGTAGTTTTGCTTTGATACCGATTTTCTTTCTACATTCCCAATTCAGTTTTCTAGATAAATGCACAGATTTTCCAGCCACAGTAAAAACCTGAAGATAGACAGAAAGAATGAATGAATGAAAGGAAAGCGGAAGATTATCTATCGTGAGTAGTCAGATTTTTAGCCGATATGCATGTGAAAGACTGTTGCCAACTGAAAGACAATGGTCGAGAGTACGAAATCATTAATGCGCAATATTGCAGTTTACAACTTATTGCAGAGTTCCTGCAAATATCCGAGAAGTTACGGATGCAATAAGTGCTGATCCTTTGTTATGGAATGCCGATAAGATAATACTGCCCTCTCTCTCTCTCTCTCTCTCTCTCTTTAACGCATGGAGTTGACATGATGATGCGGCAAGTACGGAACATTCAGAATGTACGGATTTCCGCAAACACAGGGAAAATTCGAAGCACTGCAGAACGGGGGGTTTTTTCTTCTTCTTTTGGCGATCATCGCAAATCCTGTAGTCGGTATGGAGGTAGAACAGGCCCAAAATCGGTAACTACCGGAAAAATTGGTAAATTTAGGCAGCCCTTCTCAGGAGTTTTGTTTGGGTGTTCGTGGAGTTTCATTTTTTATAGGAATACATTATTATGATTTTTCCCTTTTAAAATTTGTGTGAAATGTTTTATTTTGATTTTAGTCAAACAAGTATCTTTTTGGTGAAGAAAACCCGAAGGCGCTGAAACTGCAAGACACCACTGATTTCATTATCGTGCTGACACAGTAAACAACAAAGTAATAGCACACAACAAACTGGCGTGGGTTTTTTTTAAACATCGAAACATATCGCTACCTTAGAACTACAAAGCTGCATTTGCTCAATACCTAGTTTTGAGAAATTTGCCGTAAAAAATTATGAGTTTCACATGTCAAGCTTTTTCGAACGCAATCCTTTCAATATCTTGATAATGACTCTGAATAATCTTATGATTTTGATAGAGCAAACAGAGCATTTGGTATCTGACCTCATGGTCTTAGTACATATAACTCAAAACGACCAAAAATGTCAGATAGAACTTTATAATTCTAAGGTAGCAATATACAGATTCTTACGTCCATGCTGGCTGTGTAGTGCATAGAATCAATTTAATAAGACGAAAGGCGTTCTGACAACATGATTTACTTCTCGAATTTTAGCCCTTTGGAAACAGAAATGTCAAATTTATAGATGAGTTTTTAAAATTTATTAATAGGAAATGAAAAAGACCTGCTTAACTTGAAGAAAATGGCATCAGTAGAATATTTACAAATTTGAACCCTTTGTTGATTTTTGGCCTAAATCTTCATAAACGGATTGTGAGAAGTAACTCGTTTTGTAGGAACACCTCATAAATGATTGTTTAAAACATAAATACAGTATGCATCAATTCAATACACAAAGTGAAAACTTACGGCAAGTCCTCCAGTTTCGTTGCCTCATGTTTAGGATCCAGAAGATCGAAACCATTTTCATTGTATATCTCAAGGTAAGAGATATGAACGGTGAACACTTTGTCTGAATTCTAAAGAACAAAAAAAAAAAAGGAATAGAAAACAAAAAACAAAACAAAAAAAGAAACAGAGCAGTGAAAATTTTGTGTGAATTATATTCAAGCTTTACTTACAACAAATACAGTGAAACTTGCAATCAACGAACTTAGACTTGGCAAAAACTGAGACTCAATGAAAGGAGATAAATTATTCATTTAATCCATAAAATACCTGCATTCAACATCAATAAAACGAGTATACTTAAGTTCACTAAAGTTGCTTGCATAACAAACAGTCCCTACTGATGTGGCTATCACATTTCTCTCCCGCAATTAAGATTGTCAACAATTCTATTCCAAGGGACTGTCAATTGACCTGCACTGTGGATCACTACACGCTCACTGTGTACCATTCACTGAACACCATAGTTGATCTATCACAGACACACAACCATCTTACTCAACTGAACAAAAATCTTCTTTCATACTAAACACATGCATTGAGGGTACATGAGCGAAATATGTGTCTGGCTGTGTGCCGGAGTCTTGAGAGGTAGGTCTGGTCAAAACTAGCCCGGGCAGTTGGCCCTCCATTGTATAAAGCTAATTTCTGTAAACATTCTCTTATCTGACAATGTAGGCATGCATTTGAATGAAGTGTGCTTTTAATTAACTCTATAACCCTGATTGGACGATTGTAGAAACTCGCCCAAAACAGATTTAAAAAATGACTCTTGATTTGAAACAAATTGCTCTGTATTATGAGGTTGAAAATGGAAAAAAAAATAAAGAAGGTTTGTGGGTGAACACAGCATTGCACATAGCTCTCTATTAACTCTTTTTTTTTTTTTACAAGAAAACATTTAAAATGAAGAGACAATTAACATTAACACCTGCCATTGAGGATGTTGATAAAGAACTTTTAAGCTCCCATGTGGTCCACCCACACACAAAAAGCGAGTCTTGCACAAGCTCGACCCCACTGTCCAATGCCCAGGCAAAAGGAAGCAGCAGCTCATATCATCAAGGACTCTAGGGCACCATTGGTTCTTTCCTCTCATACCCCCTCCGTGACAGAACAGATATCTCTATGGTTATCAATAAAAAATTGGCTGCTTAGTGCACTAAGATATAGAATCTCTATGGTTATCAATAAAAAAAATTGACTATTTAGTGTAAGACTGCAATACCATACGCCATTTTAAAAAGTGACATATAATGGAGTCCCACACTGATGAGCAATCTAAATGTTCATTTTAATCCTTTTCTTCCAATGAACTCTGACAGTCAAATTCAAGGTTGGACCTGATGACTTCATTGTATGCGAGTTTCACCGTACCACATTTTTAACTCATTCGGGATGCATCGGACGATAGCCTTGAGCTCCGTTGGAGACGCATCGGATACGTCCAATAGCATTTCTCGACCGTTGTGGCTGCACAAATAAAGGTATTCCACAGAACAAACTTTTGTTTTACATTGCTAAGCCATATTCTATTTTGTACTTATTTACTCCTGACCGTATAGTGTCGTTTTTTGCCATTTTCTGTGGCGATTTATGAAAGCAGTCGAGGAGATAAAGAATACGAATCTTCGAGGAGTCCCATAAAAAGAAGGACTATTCACAGCGACTGGAACCATTTCTTCACAGTATAATTTGGATAGTAGATTGTGTTGTGATGCGTTTTTAGCTGCATTGCAGTTGTGTTGTAACTTTATCTTGTTTGTTTCTGCAAAAAAAAACCAAATGTTGAATGTGTAGAGAGCGAAAACACACTTTAACAATATCAAAAGGAAAAAAAAATGGCAGACTTTCAAAGTTGACCCAAAATTGCGCGTCTCTGGGTGCAAAAGCTGGTCCAAAACCTGCGTCCCGAATGAGTTAAAGAAGGGCAAAAACCCTCTTCCCATTAATAACAATTAGTTCATCATTCAATTACAATAAAAATATGATGTGCACCGTTTTAGCTTAATACCATGAAAGGCAGATTGAGAAAAATAATACAAAATCATGATGCTGTACTGAATCAAGAAATGCATGTGAAAGCAGAAATCGAGTTTGAAAGAAAAATAACCCAGGAGCCTGCACCTGTGCAATGATCTCAAAGATGTAAGAAAGAGACCTTGGTATGATCCCTCTGTCCACATACCGCTCAGCCCCACCAGTAATTGTAAAAGTTTTACCACTGCCAGTCTGTCAAGATGAGAAAGGGAAAATAATTTCATTCACAAAGAATATCAGCAACATCAAAGGCTAAGAGAATAAACATCCGCATATTTTTAGATATAAGTGCTCTACATCCAACAGAGGCACAAAGCAGTAGCAGGAATCAGGCATTTAACACTTACCAGAAAAGGCTCACACATTCTATGCACATGTATACATTCAAAGCAATATCAGGCAAAACAGAGCAAAATTTTGAGCTAGGGTAAAAACCCTAGAGGCCACACCCCAGGGATCACTGGTCTAAAACTTGTAAACTAATATTGTACACTGACCAACACCCTTCTGCCCCGTGGACGAACTTGAACATTAAGGCTGCAATAAGAAAATACGAGTGAGTGGAAAGGCAATGGAGGTCCATAAAGAAATATATTATTAACAGCATCCGAATATGCATACTTTAACAAAATGATCAGGGAATGCACTACTTCAAAAATCTTATTTTGGTTAATAAACTCTTTTCCGAAAAGAAAAAAGATTCTTACGGTAACTTTCCAACAAAAGTTTCTAAGACAAATTTGGGCCAGTCTTTACCGACAAAGTTTTAAAAATCTGACACAGAATTTATACATCCCTGCATCGACCACTATCTTTCAAAGCATAAGTTGTAAGAAATTAAGCATGTTCAGGCCTGTCACACACAAAGAAGTCTGATCAATTATGAAGTCCCCCCCCCAAGACAAGCTCTAGACCCCATCTCACGGTCAGTCATAGATACTCTTCATAATAACCACTACTATTAATGAGTCCAGAAAGGTATCATCACTTTTTAAACATGCTGTGGTTGTTCACCACCTGAAGAAATAGAATCTGTCCACAGATGAATAGAACAATGTGACACTCATCTCAAACTTGTTTTTTTAAAAATCAATAGTTATAAAATGAAAGCAAAATGAAAGTTCTGAAATGCTATGCATGGTCAACCCTTCTTTATGGCTGTGAATGCTGGACAATCACTAAAGACAGTGAAAATAAAATAGAAGGAACAGAAATGTGGCTTCTTAGGAGACTGTTAACTCTTTCCGGACGTGTCGCCGATATATCGGCGCGAGTGCACACCCCTTGTGGACGTATCGCCGATATATTGGCTGTGATAGGGTGCCTCAGTATTGTTTCGCTTTAACATGATCCGTCATTTATAATTACTTTTTATTGTTATTGAAAAACTCGGAAAGGACTAAGGAAACGAAACATCTAGTTTCACTTTGTCAAAGCGTGGGTTTGGGGAAAAACGAGTGAATTAATTCTTGCAGTCTTGCATCAACAAAATGGTGTAACCGGACTCAGTATAAATATCATAACTCAAATAAAAAGCTGCTCATTCAGAAATTTATGGATTACGCTCTTGGCCTGTATATATGATAAGATAGCTATGCTGATTGGCTTTCACATGTTGGTGAAAGTAATTTTTTCCGTCAAAATGTATTTTTCTCATCACCATCGCCATTTCAAACCCTTGTAATGCAAACTTATGTTCAAAATTAATCCTTGTTTCATATTGGGATGTATTCCTCATTCAATTTCCTTCAATTTGATACATTATATGTTACGTTTTGAGTGATGGTTATACTTCTATAAAGTTAAGGTGACCTTATTTAGGCTACATATGGCCTAAATAAGCTAAACCCCCCTCCCTTACCTTATTTAGGCCACAGTCCACTGTGGCATAAATAAGCTAAACCCCCCTCCCTAACCTTATTTAGGCCACATCTTATAGTAGATTTCTTGAACTAACCATGGATTGGGAAGGTCGAGAGTCTACTGATCTTTTTATTTACTGCGGGGGATTATTTCAAAATAGAGGATGATACTAAATGAAAAGTGGACCAAGGGTAAGAGTTGTGTGTCTGTGTGTGTGCGTATGTGTGTGTGTGTATGTGTTTGTTTTGTGTGTGGTTGTGGTGAGAGAGAGATCTAGAGAGAGAGAGTAAATGTAATAGTGTGTTTGTATGTGTGGGTGTGCGTGTGTGTGTGTGTGTGTAATGTGTGAATGTTATTGTGTGCATGAGTGTCTATCTCAGTTGTACTGTCCAAATGTACATTATTTAGTTGAGAATTTTACATAGAACTCAACTACAAAACACCTTTATACAAAGTCATAGAAATATTCTTTTTGTGTTTATTGAGGTACAGTACAGGGTGATTTTACCTGCAAGGATAATTGGACAAAATGGGCAATATCTTTATTGCTAATGGTCATATTTAGACAAATCCTATATCATTCTCTTTTTTTTTCTTTCTTTTAACTGCTCATGGTTATTAAAGAGTAAGCCAACTAGATCAAGGTAGTAATTACGGATTCCTAATACTAATATTATGGGCATTCTTAAAATTTTTAAACTTGTTTTTAGCGCTTTTCTCAACGTAAAACAGATTCCGTAAAAAAAACCCAACAACAATGACCTAATCTTTCTTTTTCAAAGTATTGTGCTTACATTTGTGTGAAACTATATATTCTACGCTTTCAAGTACATGAAAAAAGCTAATAAAGTCAAGCAAATGTTTTTCAGAGACATAGATCTAGTAGTAGGCCCACTGGAACATTTTATAAACTGTGAAAAGATGACCAGAAAATAATAAAATTATCTTATGATCTTCACTTGCACTTGCAATTTTTTTGACAAATTATAGTCTACCTCCTTATCTTTTTTTTAAAAACATTTTTTTTTTTCACCATTCATGACAATTGGCATGTATTTTTGTTTTCAGTTATTATCAAGGAAGTGGATAGGCGGACCACGGGGTCTATCTAGCCAAAAGGATAGGTGGACCCCGGGGTCTACCTAACAAAATGCTAGGTTTTAGGATGTGAACCCCGGAGTCAGCGTAGTGAAAAAGCAGATCTAGGTTTAACTAAGGATCGGTGGACCCCGGGGTCAACATAGTGAAATAAGTAGATCTCAGTTTATTTTATAGTAGGACTGGCGGAGCCCGTGGTCAACATAGTGAAATTATAAGTAGATCTAGGTTTAATTAAGGATTGGTGGACCCCGGGGTCAACATAGTGAAATCAGTAGATCTAGGTTTAATTAAGGATTGGTGGACCCTGGGGTCAACGTAGTGAAATAGGTAGGTTCAAGGTGGACCCCAGGGTCTACCTAACGAAATACTAGTTAGGTTTTAGAATAGGTGGAACCTGCGGTCACCGTAGTAAAATAAGTAGGTTTAATCAAGGTGTCCCGGGGGTCCACCAATCCTTAATTAAACCTTCTTATTCCTCTACGGCTATGGTGACTCCGGGGTCCACCAATCCTTTTAAAATTAACCCTACTTATTTCACTACGCTGACCCCGGGGTCCACCAATCTTTAAAGAAACCTACTTATTTCACTACGGTGACCCCGGGGTCCACCTGTCCTAAAACCTAGTATTTCGCTAGGTAGACCCCGGGGCCCGGGGTCCACCTTAAACCTGCTTATTTATCACTACGTTGACCCCGGGGTCCACCAATCCTTACTTAAACCAAACCTTATTTCACTACGGTGACTCCGGGGTTCACATCCCTAAAACCTAGTATTTCGCTCTGCAGACCCCGGAGTCCACCTATCCTCTACAGGACAAAACTATTATCAATTTGCAATTTTCATTGATTAGCATATTTTTTAAAAATATTGAATCAGAGACTCGCTGTCTAAAAAGTCCACTGCTAATGCTATTCTTATCAAAGAAAATGGCACAATTTGATTTTATGACATGTTAAAAAAAAAGAGTTTTAAAAATATCCCGAAAATAACATAAAATGATTATATATATAGATCTCTCTCTCTCTCTCTACACACATATATATATATATATACATATTTATGTGTGTATTTTATTATGTATACTAAAAGACTGAGCAGAGGCTTACAATGTAAATTCTGTGCTCTACAAGTAGAGAAAATCTTAAGTTTGCACAAAACAGATTTTAGAAAAAAAAGTTGGATCTAATTATTCTAATAAAAGTAAAAGTGATTGTTTCGCTGAGATTTGTTATTATTAACTCTGGAAATACAGTAAGTTGCTGAATCTAAAATTAACTAGAACTGCAATTCGTTTTATTTCAATTCCAAAGCCCAAAGGCATAGCAATAAGTTAGATCTAGATCTAGCAGTTGTAGGCTCTCTGGCTGCTTCTAGCACAGGCCTGCTACTACTGATTCTAGACAGGGAATCTAGATCTAGCTATCGCCTGCACTATTAAGTCAAATATATGGTAAAATAAAAACAAAACTGTGAATTGTTTTGTCAGTCAGTACATCCCAATTGCCATAGCCGCACGTATTAATCTAAGTTGAATAATGTGATACCGAAGCAACACCTTATCACAATGTGCAGGGGAGAGTGAGGTGCCCGGGTCGCTGACCGGTCGATTCGGTGGTTCGGCTATTGTAGATCTATGCATTTTTTACGGAAAGCCGTATTACTAGATCTATTACTATTAGTGTTGTGAAAACTTCAACCTCTACAGCTCAGGCGTCAAAAGATGCTGGAAAATAAATCGAGGCCAATTCGCCCTGCCGCAAGCACGTTCACTAAACTGCCTACTAGATAAAATCTACCACCAAAGATTCTCTACACGATCTTTGCTACTACTACTACTAGGCCTACTACATGTACTACTACGAGACAGTACGAGAGAGTGTCACTCAGGCAAAGAAAGTGTAACTTTGACTCAGCCACGTAGTGTACACATATTTTATACCCCAAATTTGACCCCGAAGTCAATTCGGAGGATTTGACCTTTTCACTAGACCAAAGTGTGCCAAAATGGTAGCCTAGCTTTTGCCCCTCCATGAAGGAAAAATCTGAAAATTTTGCATATTATTGTGCTTTGTTCTTTACAATATTCATAATGATTATGATTTATAAGTTGTACACTGAGACAAAACCGTACTAAATGAGAAAGGTGCACCATTATGAAAGTGGAACAAACTCAGTAGCCTGAAAAGGGTAGTTTGAGCATGTGTGGCCTAAATAAGCTAAACCCCTCTCCCTTACCTTATTTAGGCCATATGTGGCCTAAATAAGCACTCCCATGAAGTTATTTTGTACACCACCTGCATAGCCAAATCGAGCCACAAGCTAATTATGTCTAGACCCCCCAAAAACTCTATGTCCGGAAAGAGTTAAGAGTATCGTGGAAGGAAAAGAAATCAAATTAGGTAATTCTTGATGAAGCCCACGTAGGACGGTCAATGTTGAAAATAATCAGGAAACGACAAATGCAGATTTTGGGACACCTGAATAGACATTTATAGGGTCTTGAACATCTAGCTCTCACTGGCAAAATTGAAGGCAAACGAGGCAGGGGTAGACCCAGAACAACCTACTTAGGGAACCTAAACAAATGGGTAAAAGGGAAAG